CCACCTTCTGGAGATACGCCGGCATGGTAGCTGGAATACATTGCCGAGGCGAAGATCTGGCATTTTTTCCTCCTCGTCTTTTTTTCTCCGCGACGTTTGTTTATATTTGTAGTGAGAATGCCGCGCATATCGGTGGATTTTACTTCAGTCAAGCGGCTTCAGTTTCTGCGGCTTGCTACTCATAAAGACGAGTGCCGGAATCGCTTTGTTCGCCTTTAACAGATTTGTTGTCGAATGCAAGGTAAAAGAACGGACTACTGTAAGGTAAGAATTGAAGTTTAAATTTGTTTCTCGGCGAAAAATAGTGCATACAACTCGTGAAACCCGTGAGTATTACCTCTGTTTAATATACCGGATGTCACTGCGATGACCCCTCTCTTTTACGATGGATAGGACGGATACAAACAATAATTTCTTTCGCAACGTTTAGTATCATTTACTTAATATGGAGATCATCTGAGGACGATTTTTCGTTATATATGCTTCATTTCTTGGCTTATTCCGGCTACATGCGAAAAATTAGATGACAATGTTTGTGTGCTATAATTATACTGATAATTTCTTGCACCTTGAAACTCATGAAAGCCAAACTTGTTTAACCCTAGCAAAAAACTCTTTTAATGGAGGAACTCAACCTGATAGTTGCACTAAAATCTAATAATTGTTGGGTAGAAAATACCTGATGGTTACATTAATAATAATCACTGCATTTGCTCTCTGTAACCTCGTGGGTAGAACATACCTGATGGTTATATTTAAAATAATAATCATTGCTTTTGCTCTCTGTAACCTCGTGGGTAGAACATACCTGAAGGTTACGTTAATAATAATCATTGCACTTTCTCTTTGTAACCTCGTGGGTAGAACATACCCGATGGTTACATTAATAATATCACTGCATTTGCTCTCTGTAACCTCGTGGGTAGAACATACCTGAAGGTTACGTTAATAATAATCATTGCATTTTCCCTTTGTAACCTCGTGGGTAGAATATACCTGACGGTTACATTTAATAATAATCACTGCATTTGCTCTCTGTAACCTCGTGGGTAGAACATACCTGAGGGTTACGTTAATAATAATCATTGAATTTTCTCTTTGTAACCTCGTGGTTAGAACATACCTGATGGTTACATTAAAAATAATCACTGCATTTGCTAACCTCGTGGGTAGAGTATACCTGATGGTTACATTAATTCTAATCATTGCTTTTTTTTGTAACCTCGTGGGAAAAAAATTAATGCCTCTCTCCTGGAAATTTTGCGCTGTCCTTTGAGCATAGTGATCTTTGGGTAGCGAATTCACGAAAACAGGTAAAACGCTTTTTTTAACAACAGCATTTATATTATTTGGGTTTTTGAGGGAGGTTAGACATTAATGGAATAGAATATAAAAAAAGCTGATAAAGCGGAAAAAGTTATCTTTACAAAATGCGCTTTGACAATGTCAAGGAGTGAAATAAGCTGAAGTTTTGTAGTTAGCCCGAAGAAAACCTGTTCCTGCATGAAAAGCAGTTCTGATTCCCTTCTCTTAACTAGAAGAGATGCATATCCCTCTGAACCAGTTTTTTAACTAGGAGCGATTCCCACTCACTTAAGATACTTTATTGACACGAGTTCCTATTTCAATATATGTCTAATTCAAGCTTAGCCGCGTGATAGCTCTTCATTAGCGAAAAGGTCCAAGTGATATTTTGATTGACGTGTTGTTTTGGATCCTGAGGTTTTTTAACACCTTTTCTCTAGCTTAACTGGCGAAGATATTCTAGGAATTTGCCCTTCAATTCCAAATTCTTTGATGTGCCGCCAGATGCCGTGCAAAAATATCACCTCTTGCGGCTCCTCGTGCTTTCTATTAAGATTCAGGTTTACGCCAAATTGTACCACGTGACCAAGTTTCCTCCTTAATTGTCGTCTACTGTTTATTAATTCCACTCAAAAAAAGGCGTTTCACGCCAGTTTTATCCATAAGAATTGTTCTGGACAGTTTTTATGTGCTTATTTTCTATTCTGAGAAATTCTGAACTGACGTTCGCCTTTTGCAAATAAACGTAACTCTTTAGCTCCCTTATCTTCAAATAATCCTGCACCAGTAAAACATCTCCGGTCTTTTCACAACTAAGTAGTGATCAATAATGCATGTTGCCTACATGGACGACACGAGCTTCGATGTAGTTTATTAAAAAAACAAGCGTCTCGCGCCCTCTAAAAAATAACAATAAGTGTAAATTGTTATTAATTTTATTCTGTGTACTCACGAAGCACTTATGAGTTCTTATAAGAAGACTTTCAAGCGCGTCCGTTCGTTCCCGATGGAATTGGAATTTGAACGTGTTAATGGTTTTGAGGAGAGGAGAAAACCGGAGTACCCGAAGAAAAACCTCTCGGAGCAAAGGAGAGAACCAATAACAAACTCACCCCCATGTGGGGTGGACGCCAAGACCGGATTTAAACCCGAGCCACATTAGCCGCGGGAGGCGAGTGCTCTAGTCACCACTCGCGCCACTACCCTCACCTTCGGCCAAGCTTTCCAGCTGAAAAAAGGCACTTCATCAATTCAACTATTCCAACAAAATCTCGAAAGCCACACAGAGGGTTCAACTAATTGGCACTGGCTCAGATAAATATTCGTAATATTTATACTATATTTATTTAAGGTCTCCACGACGGCGGACGAAAATTAGACTTTAGGTGGATTTCCAATTTTTGTCGCGTAAAGTTTTACGTGCGTACGCAAGTAAATTTTACTCGCCTAAATAAGTTTAGTTTATTTACGCACGTAAAAATTACGCGGCAGTGGAAGTCCACCCTTTGCTAACAGTCATAAATGGCGTTCGATTGCTCGTATCTCAGTAGACTGTCTTATATCGCCAATTTGGTTATATTTGAAAACTGAATTTCCAAACCGGTCCCAACTACATGATTCTAAAAGACAAAAGTTTGCTTAAAATTTCGCTTAACCCAGGTTGAAGTTAGCCATTTTCTCTCTGGTTTTAAGCCCCTGTGCCCTTTGGCAACCCGCACACACTAGAAATTTTCTACGAATAGTATCTCGGATAACTTGATAAATAGACGCACCGGTTAAAAATTTTGGTTTCTGAACCACTTGGTGTAAAAATTGAATAGAAAGTGTATCACGCATGGGATGACTGGCGGTACGTATGATGTAAATTTAAGCGCGTTAATTAGATACTTTCACGAACATTAACCTTCAATTCCTCACTATTTATCACTTCAACTGCTGCCCTGGCAGTTTGGAGAAAACTACATACCTAACTGAACTTCTCGTATAATCAGAGGTCATAAACTCCCTTTTTCAAAACGAGGCTAAGTGCAAAACCTTTGCTGTGAAAATGAGTTCTATTTGCATGAGAATAAAAATCATTTTCGTATCATGGTTTCGCACTTGAAAGTTGAGGTAATTATTGAATGGCCCAATCTTCTTCAATCTGAAATATTGAGCTCCATTGTTTTAATGCAGATGAGCTCTCTCAACGGGTGCTCCATTTTTTCTTGTGCAGGTGTGAAGCAGCGCTTTTTCTAGGGGATGTTTTTTCGAGAGAATATCTTCCTTTCCCATTTTAGAGGGTGAGGAATGGGGGAAGAAGAGGGGAAGACAGAGGAGTAGAGTGAGATTTGGGGGGTGTACGCATGGGACAAAAAGGCAGAACGCCGAAGGTACTCTTAACTAGGGGGTCTGGGGCAACATGCTGAGAATCTCAAAATTAAGGGTCTCGCAAATGGCATTTCCTGAAAATTAAGGGTCTCGCAAATGGCATTTCCTGTGTTTTCCACAAGACATTTTCTGTAAATAAATACGAAGGAAAATGCAATAGTTAGTTGTTTAGTTTACCCATCTCTAGTGTTATCTGTAAGGTACAGTGCTTACCGCGAGAATATAAGGGTAAAACGATGACGCCATTAAAAGGGTTACAAGCAAAGGGGGAGACTTCTACCCTTTAGACGGGCAAGAACACCGATAAAATGTGAAAAATTTATCAGTTATACCGAATTAATGATTAAAATTCTTTGGGGAAATAGAAAAAAATCGGATTTCAGCTGTACGCACGGGCGTGTGCCCATATGAACGCTACGCTCCTAGAACAGAAATGCGATTTTCAAAGCGCGATCGGGGAAACGCGTATTCCGCAAAAATTACTCGCATTCCGCGCTTTTTTTGTTTTTGTTTTTGTTTTGGTTTTTTTTTTGTTGTTATTTCATTTGCTATTCCAAAGTACAACAATTACAATTATTATCACAAAGCATACATGCACAAACGGACTACACACCTAAGCACACGTGCAATACCACAATCACCACACAAGGTATGCCTACTGTTATTTTTACAAGTGCTATTCAAAAAAGAAGAAACTAATCATTTTTGTAAAAGAAGAAAAACTAACTAGATTACAAAGTCCATTTGTCCATTAATTTTGTAAATTCTTATTCTTAGTGCAAATATACTTTTCTATTTCATATTTACCGTTTATTCTAACTATAAAACTGTTTATGGTTGGGAGTAGTTCATTCCTTCTGCAACTCCATAAATATATTTTCACTATAAGTATAAGATAATTAAGCAAGGGGCATTCAGAAGATAAAACGCCGATCCAAATTTCCTTTAATGTTAGGTGAACTAGTTGTTTTCCCAACCCAAAATAATATGATTCAATACATTTCCAGAATGAATTCGAATAAGGGCAGTCCCAAAAAAAATGTCTAATAGTTTCTGGTTCCCTTTTGCAAAAAGAGCACAAATTGTCTGTCCTGTACCCAATCTTGAACAACTTTGAGTTGGTAAAAAGTATAGAATTAAGTATTTTAGATTGAAAGGCTTTGACATAAGGTTCAAACACGATAGAATGGGGCAAGAGAAATGCCTTTCTGAGATCGTCATTAGATAGATTAAAATCCAACTTCAGTTTTTGTGCATAATTTGGGAGACAAGCCTTCTTTTTGATCAAAAAAGGATAATAATCTTTTGATTTCTTTTTTTGTTATGTCGAAAACGCCGCCATTGATTTTAAAAGAAGGTATTGCATTAAAGGTACTCGAATCCGAGTGATTAAAAACTTTTAAGTTGGTTGGTATTGAATGTCTCATACTAGTCCATTCAAGGAAGTTTGTCTTTTTAACATTTTTTGAGATCTGTTCGTAGGATTCCGTATTGCTGAGATCAAAATGTAAGTCTCCTATTTCCCAAATACCAATGCCGTAATATTTCTTGTAGAAAAAGGGCTTGTCGTCTATTCTAAAGTCTCGATTATTCCAAATTACATAATGCCAATCGTTATTAAGAGCATTATCTTCTCGGCATTCCGACCACCATTCAAGTAATTCTAAATAAAAGGTAGTGGTAATTTGAAGATCCTTAACACTATAATTGCATTTAAAAAGCATTAGACCTCCAGAATCTTTCAAGATGTATTCAAGGTAGTTTTTCCACGCGCCTGAGTTGTCACTAAATATTCGTTTAAGCCAGGAAAGACGGAGAGATTTTATCAAACTTTCAATATCCACCATTTTGATGCCTCCTTCTTCATAATTATTTATTGTTGACACTCTTGTTACTTTATCTTTACCTTTCCATAAAAACTTATATAATATATGATTTAAATCCTTGACAATGTGTTCCGGAGTAGGTAACAAAGAGGAGGTGTAAACGATCTTTGGTATAAGAAGTGATTTAATTAGAGTAACCTTTCCGTAGACAGAAAGCCCCCTTGAGGACCAGATATTGATTAGTTTTTAAATGTCGATGATTTTCTCTGAGAGATTCTTTGAGTGAGACAACTTATGGTCATAGTGCAGTTAAGGACTGGTACGTCATAAGCCATCTTTCCACGAAAGATTCTAAGCTGTGAATTGAGTGCGTATCAGGGTAAGCGTTTGTGAGAGGAGACAACAATGCTGGAATATTTTATAAAACCTTAAACGCATTGAGCACTCTTCTCCTCCATATATGGCTCTCAGATGGCTCTTCATGACACGGGCGGGAGACTTGGGGGTTCTGGAACTTCTAAGCAAAATGGGGGTGAGCTATGTACGGGATGCAGGATGACAAAAATCACCATGGGGATTACGCGATTGTGGGAAAATTTGCGTCGGGATGAAAGGTTTATAGAACTCTACTGAGGACTCTCGATTATACCTTAACTTATAAGTTAGTCTCACTCACTCAAATTATAAGTTAGTCTCACTCAGTCACGGTTCGTATGACATACGACGTAGGATGGATTAATTTATAGATACAACAGAGGAACAGTTCCAATACACATTTTATTTCGTTTTTCTCTGAGAGCTACTTTATGCCCTGAAATTACATATTGGGCTATTGAAATCCAGAAAATCGCTGTTTAATCAACGATAATAATAACAATAATAGACTTTGATATTTTTGCCCACTTCCGAGCGTGGTTTGAACCCACCTTTCATATTTTTATTGTTAGAATCTTCACAATCCCAATAGAACCACTCACTTCTAACCTTCATTCCTCGCACTTTCTGGCACATGTGAGTGTTAGATTTCAGCAAGACGAATGGGGAGTCAGTGGGAAGAATTATGGGTTCCGAGGAAAAACCATCGTCTCGACAGCAGTAGCGGATAACGGTGTCTCTATTAAAATCACCATCTGGAATCTCACCACTAACTCTGTTAGCGTTGTTAGAATCTTCGTCATCCCATCTTATGTATCCCTCTCCAAAACCTGTGTGTGATTAATAGATTATACGTCAAAGGTTTTTTTACAGTACCACTAGAGGGCCATTGAGATCCATACGGATTTATCTTAGCTTGGCCGTTTCATCTCTTACTGAAGTCGCCATTTTTTAAAAGAGGCTTTGTTTTAATTCATGGTACTGTAATCATTATCATTGTTATTACTATCATTATCATCATCATAATCATCATCATCATCATTATCATTTGCCCAATTGAATCTCATAACTAGGTGGTCCCGATGAATCTACAGTGAGTCAGGTGACTGAAGTTTTGAAAACCAGTGCAGTAGTCATCTTCAGAGTCAAAGTGATTTGTCTTTCGTCAATTGATGGTATGAAAATCTGTTTATTTTCCTGATTGGTCAATAAAGTCATGACTTAAACTGACGATCAAAGACAAATAACTAGAAACAAACTACCTTGTTAACCCCAGGGGCTGTCTAAACAGTCTAGCTGACTGACTATTTTTACATAAAATTGGCTTGAACAAACAAAGACAAACAAACAAATAAATAACACAAACCATCGGGACATTTCCTTTTCTTGAGAATACAGTATTGCCCTTTTGGCCAGCGTAGGTCGTAAACAGAAGCTGTGTATTCTGTTTTCATGCAGAAATTCTGGGTCATATCATTTCTGTTGTATGGACCAGCCAAATCAAATGGATATGACCACTTGTTGGCTCCAAAAACATCTTCAGTGTCGTGTTTGCGACATCCCTTGTGCCATCTCTTGGGGCATCCCGACTTTGGCATGGGAAGACCGTATGTACCCTTAGGCCAGGTTAAAGGAATCCGCACTTCGGGATCTAATTATAATAAGATACTGTCAAGCACTGAATAGATACTTTTTGTTTCTAGTTCTGAGTCGTGCTTAACATGTACTTTGGGGCTTAGGAATTCACCCGTGATCTTTGTTAGTCTTGAAAAATCTACCTATTGTTCGTCATTGCTTGACTGGCGGGGGACCCCAGGTAGATCAGGTAGCCCACTTAGGTGAGCTAACGGTCCTCTTCATATAATCTCTTAAATTGATCAGGTTTACATGATAGATGAGGTGACCATATGAGAGATTATCTGAACGAAAGGGTTAACACACCACCTGGGGTACCCCACCTTCATGTAAACATGCCTCAGATCCTGATTTAATATTTGCGCATTTCTTTAGCTTTCCTGAAAACATGAAGACTCCCATTGAATTATCACTATACAGTTTACCAGATTTTCTGACAAAAGTAACGTTCTTAAGTTTATAATATTTCGACGCTATCTATTTTACCTCCTCTAAAATAGACTCGTACCTACAGGTTTCACGGTTTTCTTAAGGCGAGGATATTCATTTAATGCCCTTATGACCGCCGACTTGCGCGCTTTGAGTAGAGAATTAGAATGAACGCATCGTGCGGACGACCGTTTATCCAAGACGGAGTAAAAAGCAGGATCAAAAGCTTCAGTAATTGGCACCAGTTTAATTCCAATGGGCTCAGGCATTTTTGGTCCTCCAGACTTGAACACCTCTCTATGTTTCCCAAATTTGGTGTTCTTTGACATTGACTCTTTGAACACGTTAACATCGACTTTTAAGGAGGCGCTGAATCCCCCGTAACTTCCAGACACAGATATCGACTTGTCCGACTGAAAAAAAATAATATATATTGGGTTCGTAAAAATGTTAAATGTTATTCCCGAAGGATCACGTAGTGCACACAAAAACCCAAAAGTTTCATGAAATACAATTTGCGATTATCTAAAGTGACTTTTATTTGAGGTTCTCAACATGGTGTAATCCGGAATTTGAAAACGTTATACATATGTCTGTAAAAAATACTCTGAAAAAAAGAGATGTTGTGCAATAATGAACATCGTCAATGATTTGTAGACATAAAACCCGCAAATTTTCGGAAAGGTCTTATAAGAAAAAAAGTTCTAAGTAAAAGCTGTATAGCCCGGTTCCATGGTGACGACTTAACAACTATTAATTGTAACTTCGGAAGAAAAACAAAAAAGTCAAAAACAAAAACAAACATACATGCAACAAAAAAAAAAAATGAAACAACTAAATTCAGCGAGCCAGCTAACCCCAAAGGTTTTTTCTTATCAAAGTAAACCAGAAAGCTTGACAAAGCTAGAGAAAGGTATATATTCTCAAACTTACGTTCACCATTGCGTATTCAGTGAATTCTGCTTGTGAACTTTTAAAGCGTTCTGTTTTTTTCTCCCCCAATTCTACTTCGACTACAATGTGCTGGAAAAAAAAACAGAACAAAACAAAACAAAACAATACAATACAATACATAGAAAAACGGAAAGCAGACACAATTATGCAATTACACGTCAAAATGACATCAATCTCGATTATTAAGCGAATTAATCAACATTTAGACAAACTAACCGTTCCCCAGTCTTCTAAGAAATCAAAGTATTCTTTTTCGTTGTAGCTTCCTGGTAAAGCGCATATTGTAGCAGCAGAGTCCTCTGACACCGGGAACTTCTTTACTCGAACTGAATTCAACTGGTAGCGGGCGCGTCCCTTATTGCAAACATGTTTCTCCTCATAAAACACATTGTGATATTCAGATGTCTCCTTCTTCACCTTTTCGAACCCTATGTATTGACGTCAATGCATCATTATACAAAGAATCATTGGACAGTACAGAGTAACTATATCTGAGCTAATATCAAAAAGATGTTCTGAAAATGTACTACAGTTAAACCTCCCTTAACAGCCACCTAAACTATTCCCTAAATTATAAATTAAACAGAAGTAACTCATTTTATTTCTTACTTGAACTTAGCGAAAAAGCGACACTCAGCAAATCATTTCAGTAGTCACCTACACAGAAATTTAAAAGAATAAAATAGTTTAAAAATTCACAATTTAGGTAATTACTATAAGTGAGAATCACTTATAAAAGTAGTCACAACAAATGCTGTAAAAGCGATATTTCCTTAAGAGAATTTTAAGCGCAGCATCTGCCTACCTATAAGTATAAACGGTTTTACATGTGACAGCATAGTCGTTTCTTATCACAGAATCAGTGTGTGATATTACTTAGATTGAAATCTTAGCACTCTCTTTTTCCGCTTACCGCTAACTTGGACATCGACGTTCAGTTTTTCTTGATAACTCTTAGAACCGAAAAACACTTCTTTCTTGTAGGTTCTAACACAGGATAAACGTGGCGCAAAGGTCACCTGATCTGGCACACTAAACCTGTTGTCTACAGACTTCTTGTTAGTGTTCCAGGTAAGCTGAAAGATCTTTCTAGTGATAAGAAGTCCTGGATCGACACCCCATATCTCGCATCTCCTTCAGGGTTCCCTTTCAGCAGATTATAACCAACACCAACAAAATCGAGTCCCTTTGGAGCATCACCGCTTCCTTTAACAACCACAGTCATACCAATCATGATGAGAATGATAGACAACTGCATGGTAGCTCTGTGGCTTTTACTGCACATACTTGTAGATTCTTCCCTAAATACAAAAAAGAGGTATTTTTATTGCAATTTGTAAAAAAATAGGAATAAGAAATCATTAAATCATTAACCAACTTAGAGAAAAATTAAGCTCCAAACTATGTGAAACAGAAAATTTTCCTTTTTTTGTTTTTGTTTTTGTTTTCGTTGTTGTTGTTGTTGTTTTGTTGGAAAACTGGGGTATATAGGCGTATTTTTTGACCTAAGGTTTTGACCCTCCCGTTATATTGAGCAAAATTCTTGTTATAAATTCACTTAGACATGTCTTAGTTGCAATAAAAATTCTATTATTTTATGACTATTGTCAAATTTTTCATTTCTTTTGTAATGCATTAACGGGAGTGAATATCACAAAATCTCCATTTTCTCCTTTATCGTTATTCTATACTCTTCGAAATTTACAACATGTTTATAAGAGCCAGCTATAAGTTAACAATAAGGTTTGAAAACTAAAAGAAGTTAGGGTGCTTTGATATACGTCATTAATCTTAACAATCTTTTCTGCTGTACTGTCCAATGCCTTTTACACATTCAAGCTTCTCTCAGTTTCCTTTTACCCTTTCGGACCAGGCGATGGTTTAAGGAAAGAGACCGTGGGAATCCCATCAGACTTTATCAGTTTACTTATAGCCGTTTACTGCAGTTAATTGCAGTTGTTGTTGATAATTAGGAAAAACCTAAACTGGCAAACAGCAGAACGTTTATTATTGACTTTTTCCAATTGATACTGGCTTGTAGCTCATGGCTATTTTCTTTCTCTATATTTTTTTCACCTAAATGTTTCTTAAGAATTCTGAAAAATTGTACTGTGCCTATCAGTGGCATCATTATGAAACCATTCAGAATACTGAAATAATAAAAAAATATATTTTACTAAATATTTTACTATCTTTAAAATATTAATTTAAAGAAAAAAATGGTTCAAGACTGTCTCGCCTTTATACGTAATTTTACAACTTTTTCACAGTTTTACAACTCTTGTGTACTGTTGTGATGGACACTTTTGTTTGATAAAGATTTCATATGCCATTTTACCCCTGTAAAAGTAAGATTATCTGCTCTTCATTATAGCCACAGGAGAAAACAAATTAATGTAACGGGAATCCTCCAAGTTGAATGTGGCATGGAATGCTCTGTGCGAGGTGAACAGCAAAGAATTGATTCAAGTACATAAGGAACGCGAATTGGGAAATACCTTTACCTTTTCCCTTTGACTTATTTGAGTGTTTGTTAAATATTTGGCAGAGTTCTTTTGCAAACTACATGTTTCGTCAGAGCTAACCTGAATTTTAACATGGAAAATTACCAACCAACTGGTCAATTTCCTGGAAAGAATGATGCATGATGCATGATCGTTTCATAGCCGGCTGTAAATCATGTAGCTGCAACGAGCCTTGTAGTAACCAAGACAACATACGCTATATATACTGGCACTAATATATAGATTTAGCTAGGGCTAAAAGCGAAGCTCTCGATAATATTTATAGTTTGTTCAAACAAAATACAAAATCGTGTAATGCTAAGCGGCGAAGGCAACGCCGGAGAACGGTGAAAAACAACAATAGGTCTAATTAGCAAAAAAGCAACTTTGCACGTGCAGCACACTTTTTTGTGTGCATTTCTTTGCCGTTGTTTTGCACGACTACAACGTGAAACTTCCAGAAACTTCTTAGTTACACGTTTTATGGAGGAAATGTCGTACGTGTTCTCGTTCACTTTTTTTTCACTGCCGCTCATTTTCACCTTGCATTGGTGGCGGCTGGCATTTCTCATTTTGTCACCGCCGTTACAAAATTTTCATGTTGTTCTTCCAACAACAAATGTCTCCTTTGTTTTCTATCTCTCGCTCTAGATCTCTGTCGCCCTTTTTTTCGTTGAGCTTCGCTGGCCTGCCACCTACTTTCTCTTTTTCTCTGTCTTTCTGTTGCTCTATAGATATATATATTCCAAATTTGTGGACATGACAATTAATCTAAACTTAATACTTTAGAAAACACGGATACAGAGACAATTTCGATTCCATGCACTTTCCGTTTTCGTCTTCATTGACTATTAAGTTGTCTCTGCTTCACAAGACGGGGGTGGCTATGCGATTTCCCGCCAAAATAACCTCGAGTTGCATTTGGGTTGCCATACCTGTTGATTGAGTTATTTTGCATTGGTATGCCCGTGGTGCGGAGGGACGGTCGCTCGGGCGGGCGGGCGGGCGGTCGGTCGGTCGGTGTACGGTCACATGATTACCAAATTTTCTCGGATGGATAGATTACCACATTTTCTTACCCACGGAGCTCCGCTATTATGCTATGTCAGTAGAACGTTAAGCCCAAAGTATTTCAAAACATTGACAGAAGCAGCCTAGGCCTTAAGACAGTAATTTAAGTTTAGGTTTTAGACGGTATTAAACAAATCTTGCAAATTTTCAAGCTGCTTTACTAGTACACGTGGGAATTTTACATGAATTTGTATAAAAAAATTCAATTGTTTCTTGAAAAATAGATAACCTAACATTACGCGCATTAATGTATTTTTGAGGCAATTTATTTTTCAAAAAAAGTAGATAAAAAAGATCATTGTCAATTTGTTTTATTGAACTAGCCAGCATTCTGGTCCAGACCTGTGGCTTCCAATTTCCTACCTATGACATTTTAAAAATAAAATTCTGTAGCTTACTCATGCATAAGAGGTTTTTGCAACCAACTAAGACCCTGTTTACAAGGAGTGAGGGACCCCGGTCTAGTGGGGTAGGTTTCTTTTGTTTTGTGTCCCCCAGAGAGTGAAAACAAAAGAAACCAACCCCACTAGAACGGGGTCCCCCACTGCATGTAAACAGGCCCTAAGATGAAGGCTCTCTTGAACACCTTTCTCACTGTTAATAGTCACTCTTTTAAACAATTTTTTAAATGGTCTCAAGAGAGAATGATCTAATTCTCTCTTGATGGTCTCTATTATTCCAATATTGTGCACCGCAGGTTATGCAGTCGATTCAAATTGTGGTTTAGCATTACCGTATTTATTCGATTAACAGCCCTGGGCGCTTATTAAATTTTTGGACTTTGAGAGTGGGCGCTTGTTCGAGGTGAGCGCTTATTCGAGGCTGGGCGCTTATTAAATTCTCACCATTTTCAGCAAGTGAAGTATGTTTATTTTGTAACAAAACAATAAATGCTAATAACAGAACGCGAAGAAGTAACAAAGCAAGGCTTCTGTAAAATACTCTGAAGAAGACTCCGTCCTCGGGGAAGACTCTTATTAGAATTTATTCACTCAAGTGGGTGGGGTGGGGTGAGCGCTTATTTGAGTGTGATTGGGAGGAGTAGGGGGTGGGCGCTTATTCGAAGGTGGGCGCTTATTAACTTTTTCCGCCTTTAGGATGGGCGCTTATTCGAGGTGGGCGCTAATTCGAGGTTGGGCGCTTATTCGAATAAATACGGTAAACTAATTGCAACATAATTTTTTTCAACGCCATTTAATTGTTGGCAGCGGTCTTGCCTAAGCGACTATATAAGACACATACATCACGCATTCATTATCATCTTCGAAACAAGTCACACAGATCTCATCATGCCTTCATCAAACGTGCTCGTTTAAGTCCTTATCCCCTCCTCACCCTTTCGCCTTTCCCCTTGTTTCTTCATTGGCGCTCGCCGCTTCCTTTCTGCCTCCTTTTTTTAAATTTCCATCTGCCTCAATTTCTTGGGCTATGCTCGCGGTAAGTATCTCGTTTTGTGACCCAGATTTTATATAGGTTGCCACCTGTTCGACAGCTGGCTCGACATTCGGCCTGGTCCGGCATATATTTTCAAGGTCGGTATTTTCTGTACTTTTCCCCATTTGTTTGCAGTGCTAGTATTTTCTTAGCCATATTTATTGCTTTGGTTGTATTTGTTTTCAATTCTTTTCTTTTTATTATGTTCTGCAGCTGCTCCCGAGATTTCAGTCTTACAAGGGAGTCTAATTCCCTGTCGGATTACCGGCACGTAAGAGAAAGTCTCAGTGGGTTTAACCGATAGGCGTAAAACGGCCAAACATTTAGCCGATAGCCGTAAAAATTGAAAAATTTTAACCGTTAGCCGTAAATAGCTGGGGTAAAAAAGAAAGTGATCCCTAGATTTGCTACTTTTAAGGA